TAGACAATGGTGGATCGCCGAGATGCAACAAACCTAAACAAAGAAATCAAGTGAAAGAGGTTTATTATAGACCATTCTCGAACTTAAATCACTAAGATATAGTTTTTCCACTTTCGTGGCTCCAACTACTATGTTTAAACAACCTAATAGACTCAGCTTTCGTTGGTTATTAAAAGTTGTAAACATGCATTAAAGATGTTCAAGATTTAATTGTTCACAATACTCCACAACTCAACTTTCGTTGGCCGTGAACTATCGCTCACCAAATACTAGTTCCGGCAATATAACAAGCTTTTGGAGAGTATATTAACCCAAGATCCGATGCTAGATGATCAGAAAAGCAAACGGCATTATGCTCAAGTAAAGGTGAAGAACTCAAAGGTTATTCTCAATTCACAAGACTCTCATTTATAGGTTTATGCACTCATTGATCCACCACGGCCTAGTAAGGGATTTACTCGGCCATGGTGCAAGCAAACAAACAAGATTTGAATGAAAGCATCATGCGAATATTAAAGAGAAAAGGGATGGAGAAGCTTCTCTATTGATGAAAAGGTTGAATCCTTCCTCTTAACTCCAAAATCCGTAAAATAAAATAACAAGAATAAAGATGCAACGATTTGTGAGCGTTCGTGTATGCGGCTTAGATCCGGAGAGGCTTCTCTTCCTTCTTCCTGGGGGTTACTCCTCTTCTTTTCTGACGGCGCACACCTTGACACCTCTAGACTCTGATGTACTTGCATTTTACATAGTTTTAGCACATCTTTTATGCATCTTTTGCATAGTTTTAGCTTCCATTTGCATCATATCTTGTTCCTTTTCTCTTCTTATGCATTCATGTTAGTTTTAGGTTGCATTTGCATACATATGCATGTTTGGTCCTTTGAAATAGGTCTTTTGGAGCATTCTGGAGCATATGGACATGAGGAGCATGGAGGGACTTGGCACATGGACGCAGCTCAACTGGATACGCAAAGGAAGAAGGGAGAAGCCATCTTGAAGACCAGCTCGACCGTCTACTCGACCAACCGGTCGAGTTCCTCAACTCGACCGGCCAAGCTTCAACTCGATCGAGCTGAGAAGTCAACAGTCAAACCCGAAAAATGTTGCTTCCCCCTTGACTTTCCTTTGACCCTAAACCTAATCCTCTTGTATTTAAAGGCTCTAAGCCACGAAAAAACCACCAAGCTTTAGATTATTTTGTTTTAGTTTCTTTAATTTATTGTCTTTTACTTTTTAGAGATCTAATCCCATCTTTGTGTTCTTGAAGCTCTTGCTTCTTGAATCCTAGATCCTGGATAATCTCTTTGTATTTGCACTTGCTTATTTCAATAAAAGTTGTTTAATTTCATCTCCTCTTTCTTATGATGTCTCTTTTATTGCATTTGCTTGTGTTTACATTCATGTGTAGTGAGTAGTTACCCATTGGGGTTTGAGATGGGATAGATTAGAGGTTTCATATGCTTAATCCTTCTAGCTTATGGTCTTAATCTAGATTCTCTCTCTTTTGGATAGATCTTAAGGCTACATGACCACTACCCCTGGCTTGTAAGTCCTTAGGCGACTCCCCACACGAAAGTGATGGCATTCGCTGGAAAAGATCCACTAAGAGCTCCAATATCTCTTGCTCTAGAAATAGAGGTCTAAGGGGTTGGATGGATTAGTTTGGGCAATGATCCTATAGCCTCCAAGGTTTGATTCTCACTGGCTAACCCCCTGTTTCTGAGATCATTCCTTGGTTGATAGCCTCCACCTTGGGAAAGGGTTGGCTAGGCATTGAGAAGCCCAATATCAAGAGAAGCCTTGATACAAGGAGTTTTAAGAGCTAGATGATTAAGTGTAGATTCCTTTGATTGCAAAACCCTGTCTTGAACCCTAATTCTCTCTTTATCTTGTTAAAGTCGTCACCTTTAGCTTTGTTTGTCTCAACTCGTCCCTAAACTCGATCGAGCTGGTACTTTGCTCTGACTCGACTCGAGCTCTTGGTCGAGCTGACACTTCACTGCTTTGTTTACTTTTATTGCACTGCTTTTCATTTTATTTAGGTTGTTAGTGTTACTTCAAATCTTTAACTGCTTGCTTGACTTCCTGGTTGTTTCATACTCTCAAAGAGTGACAAGTTTCCCATTTTGGATTGATAACCTCTTATACTTCAATGACTATGATGGTTAAGAGGAATTGATTGATTGTGATTGCACCATACCATCTCATCTATATTCACCCCTGTTTGCATTCCACCTCATTTCATATCATCCTTCATTCACTTCATCCACGTAAAATCCTATCATCAGACTCTCGCGCTCAGCGGCTAAAAACATGTATATATGGGCGAAGTCGCGTAGGGTTTTCTTCATGCCGGAAAAGGAAAGTTTCCATGCGCGAGCCTTCTTCTCCACGTCGTGTATGGGCCGACATTGTACCAAGGAAAGCTCCAAACATTAGCCAGGCCTCTTCTCTATTCGATCAAGGCCTTTGGCGCTGCTGCTCGGGCCATTAGACACTCCAAATCCTCCATGGGCTTCGTTTACTCGCTTACCGGACATGTCTCGGTAGAAAATAAGTTCCGGCCTCATAGTTGATCCAAATGGCTTCATTCCACTTCGACGTGATGCATGACTCAAGTATCTATCTTTCCATATCAAGATCGTAACTTTTGGACGTCGGGAACTCCTCCGCGCGCGGCCAAACTTCCGAAGCTTCGTTCTGCGCGCTAGCGAGAACTAACACTTGGAGATAAAATGTCTTCTTGACTTGGAAACTTGCATGGATCTTGATTTAGGGCTCTTTTACTCCTTTTTGCATCCTTTTTGATTTTCACCTACAAGACTTCAAATCCCACAAATACAAGAAAACTACCTCTAAAGGCAAAGAATCTTGCAAAAACCGTTTGAAAACATAGTAATTATATAGTAAAATCATGTAAAATATGGTGATATCAACTCCCCCAGACTTAGCCTTTTGCTTGTCCCCAAGCAAACTAAGCAGGAAAAGAGGTTTGAAAACGTGAGAACTCTCAAATCTTTTGGAAATCCAAATTGACTTATGCTTTAGTAATCCACATGAAACAGCATTGGCAAATTTTGAATTAAGAACAAAGTACATACCATGAGTTTTGCGATTTTCCCAAAGCGGTCCACCTCTCCTTGGACAATCCAATTCGCCACCCTTGACTCCTTTCATTTCTAAAGGTGTGGTCTCAACTAGGGAGTATCGATCAGCCGGCTTTAGACTCTTACTCATCCCCTTGTTTGGCACTTGTCTTTTACTCCATGTTTCTCCTCTCTCTCTTCTCACTTCTTTGAGTTGATTCATCCCTTTTTTAGGGTAGCGAAGTATTTTTTTATTCAACTCCTTCTCTTTATTATAGAGGTTTTGCTTGGATCTTCCACAGACGCGAGTATTGATGGTGTTTGCCACCGAATCCCCGGTTGCTTGGATTCATAGGCCTTCCATAGACGCGAGTATTGATGGTGTTTGCCACCGAATCCCCGGTTACTTGGACCTTACGCTTTTTCTTTAAATTTGAAGGGGAGAGAGAGGGAAGCACGAACTCACTAAGACTTTTTCATTTGATGGAGAGGATGAGGAATCATGCCATTTGTATGCCAAGCCCCTAGCTGAGAAGATTAAGTTCATTAAGGGCGGAGTCAAAGATGGATCCTTCTCAAGTCTTTAGAGATGTAGGCGTTTTTGGTAGATCGATCAACTCATAGTGCACCTGTGGTAAGATGTATTGCCAAGAACTGCTCAATGGTCACTTAAACATTAGTACAACATGGTTAGATCCAAGATAAGGTCATGATTCTCGACAAAAATTTTGACTCAATAAAAACGACTCGATAAAAGGGAAAAAATGCAAATGAAAACGCCAAAATGAACAAACATTGTTAGTAATCCCCCCAGACTTAACTTGCACCGTCCCGGTGAAAGCAAATCGGATTAAGAGAGGTATAACATGAAGTTCAAATGAAAAATTGAAAAGAAAAAGGTTTAGGATGATGTTACCAAATGTCGACCAATTTATAATGAAGATCAGTTCCGGTTTGGGTCATTCTACACTTCTTTAGGCAATATTGGTCGGTGAGTTTTTAATTTCAGGCCTTGGTTTCCGCCGGTTTGTGTTTTGGCCGAGATTGGTATATTCGGTCGGCCAAAATGTGGTGCTGTGAACTACAGAACAAACCGTCAAAATTTCATGACCTATATTGAAATTTCATCGACCAACCTGGTATTTTATGGCCTCTGGTGAAGTTTGGGAGCATTTTACGAGCGGATTGAGACTTCCTTCACAAAATGGTCAAGTCGGCTCCGGGAAGGAGTTTCCTTGGCCATGTGAAGTTTGGCTCGTTCCTTTTCGTTTCTTCCTGCATAAAAGTGTTAGTTAAGCTCAAGGAAGAGTTTTCCAACCGGTTGGCGCGCCTATGCCGTGATTTGGGTTTGTCGGCCGTATTGAGCTCCGTCGTCTATTTCAATGCATCTTGCTTTGACCAAGGATTCTTCAGAAGGATATGTGAGCTCAGAAACTGATGAGTACAAGAAGCTCCTTGACACCTTCAGACCAGTTCCAAACATTCTGAGCATTGAGGGGTTGGACAGGCCAGTTTGCGAAGTCATGGCAGTGAGCTCGATCAAGAACTCGATCGAGTCGAGTTTCGAACAAACGAACTCGATCGAGCTGGGGGCTGAATGCAAGGAGCAAGCTCAAGGAGATTGGTCTGAGCTCAAGGCGCCTAAAGTCGACCTCAAACCTTTGCCTGAGGGCCTCAGGTATGCATTTCTGGGTGAAAACTCAACTTACCCTGTCATTGTGAACTCTGATTTGTCATTGAACCCTGAACAGTTGAGTGCTTTGCTTGTTGAATTGAGAAAGTACAGAAAGGCAATAGGTTACACTCTAGATGATATCAAGGGGATCTCCCCTGACCTATGCATCCATAGGATTCATCTAGAGGATGAAAGTAAGTCAAGCATTGAACCTCAAAGAGATTGAACCCCAATCTAAAGGAAGTAGTGAAGAAAGAGATACTCAAGTTGCTTGATGCTGGGATAATCTATCCCATCAGTGATAGCACTTGGATATCTCCAGTTCATTGCGTCCCAAAGAAAGGGGGGATCACTGTCATTAAAAACGACAAAGAGGAGCTGATTCCCACTAGAACAATAGTGGGGCATCGCATGTGTATTGACTATAGGAAGTTAAATTCAGCATCTAGAAAGGATCATTTCCCTCTCCCTTTCATTGATCAGATGTTAGAAAGATTGGCAAACCACCCTTTTTATTGTTTTCTTGATGGTACAGTGGTTTCTTCCAAATCCCGATCCACCCTAATGATCAGGAGAAGACCACTTTCACATGCCCTTATGGCACCTTTGCTTATCGAAGGATGCCATTTGGGCTGTGCAATGCCCCAGCTACTTTCCAGAGGTGCATGACCTCCATTTTTTCAGATCTGATAGAGGAGATGGTAGAAGTCTTCATGGACGATTTCTCAGTCTATGGAGCATCCTTCTCCTCATGTTTGTCTAACTTGTGCAGGGTGTTGCAGAGGTGTGAGGAGACCAATCTAGTACTCAACTGGGAGAAGTGCCACTTCATGGTTCGAGAAGGGATTGTGCTTGGACACAAGATTTCCGAGAAAGGGATCGAGCTCGATCGAGCTAAGGTGGATGTCATGTTGCAGCTCCCTGTTCCCAAGACTGTGAAGGACATAAGGAGTTTTCTGGGTCATGCAGGGTTCTACAGAAGATTCATCAAGGATTTCTCAAAGATAGCAAGACCCTTGACAAGGCTTCTATGCAAGGAGACAGATTTTGAGTTTGATGAAGAATGCCACAAGTCTTGGACCTTGCTGAAGGATGCTCTGGTATCTGCGCCAATAGTACAAGCTCCAAACTGGGATCACCCATTTGAGATTATGTGTGATGCATCTGACTATGCAGTAGGAGCAGTGCTTGGCCAAAAGATAGACAAGAAACTCAATGTCATCTACTATGCAAGCAAGACTATGGATGATGCTCAATGCAAGTATGCAACCACAGAGAAGGAGCTCCTTGCCATAGTCTTTGCCTTTGAGAAGTTTCGAAGCTATATAGTTGGATCCAAGGTGATTGTGCACACTGACCATGCTGCCCTTAGGCACATCTTCGCTAAGAAAGATACAAAGCCAAGACTTCTCAGATGGATCCTTTTGCTTCAAGAGTTTGATAGAAGTTGTGGACAAAAAGGGAGTAGAAAATGGAGTTGCTGATCATCTCTCTAGGATGCGAGTTGAAGACATGATCCCCATCAATGATTCTATGCCTGAAGAACAGCTTATGGCAATCATGATCTTGAAGGAGAGTTTTGATGAGAAAGCAGGCTGGAAGAAGTTAAGGCTCTGCGTGATGAGAATTTGCCATGGTATGCTGATATAGTGAACTTCATGGTGTCCGGAGAAGTCCCTAGTAGCTTTGATGCTTACAAAAGAAAGAAATTCTTCAAGGATGCTAGGCATTACTATTGGGATGAGCCCTACTGTACAAGAGAGGACCAGACAGCATTTACAGGAGGTGCATTGCTGAAGAGGATGTGCAAGGAGTTCTAGAGCATTGCCATGGGTCAGTTTATGGAGGTCACTTTGCTACATTCAAAACAGCAACTAAGGTTTTGCAATCGGGTTTATGGTGGCCTACTTTGTTTAAGGATGCAGCAGACTACATTGCCAAGTGTGATCCGTGCCAAAGGAAAGGAGGGATCACCAAGAGGACGAGATGCCACTAAACCCAATTCTACCTGTACAAGAGAGGACCAGACAGCATTTACAGGAGGTGCATTGCTGAAGAGGATGTGCAAGGAGTTCTAGAGCATTGCCATGGGTCAGTTTATGGAGGTCACTTTGCTACATTCAAAACAGCAACTAAGGTTTTGCAATCGGGTTTATGGTGGCCTACTTTGTTTAAGGATGCAGCAGACTACATTGCCAAGTGTGATCCGTGCCAAAGGAAAGGAGGGATCACCAAGACGGACGAGATGCCACTAAACCCAATTCTACCTGTACAAGAGAGGACCAGACAGCATTTACAGGAGATGCATTGCTGAAGAGGATGTGCAAGGAGTTCTAGAGCATTGCCATGGGTCAGCTTATGGAGGTCACTTTGCTACATTCAAAACAGCAACTAAGGTTTGCAATCTGGGTTTATGGTGGCCTACTTTGTTTAAGGATGCAGCAGACTACATTGCCAAGTGTGATCCGTGCCAAAGGAAAGGAGGGATCACCAAGAGGATGAATGCCACTAAACCCAATTCTAGAAGTTGAGATCTTTGATGTATGGGGAATAGACTTCATGGGACCTTTCAAACCTTCTTCAAACGGGCACAACTACATTTTGGTTGCTGTAGACTATGTATCCAAATGGATTGAAGCCATTCCCCTGCCCAACCTGTGATGCCAAGGTGGTTATCAAGCTTTTCAGAACCATCATCTTTCCAAGGTTCGGCATCCCAAGGGTTGTTATTTCGGATGGAGGCTCCCATTTCATCAACAAGGTGTTTGAAAAGTTGATGAGAAGCCATGGAGTCAAGCACAAGGTCGCCACGCCTTATCACCCTCAAACCAGTGGGCAAGTTGAAGTCTCCAACAGACAGATCAAGGCCATATTGGAGAAGACTGTGAGCTTCACTAGGAAAGACTGGGCAGCAAGGCTTGATGAGGCACTTTGGGCTTATAGGACAGCTTACAAAACCCCCATTGGAAGGTCTCCTTTCAATTTGCTGTATGGGAAGGACTGCCACTTACCTGTGGAGGTCGAATATAAGGCTTTATGGGCAGTAAAGATGCTGAACTTTGATATAAAGGCAGCACAAGAAAGGAGGGTAATGAACTTGTTTGAGCTGGAGGAATAGAATGAATGCCTATGAGAACTCTAGGATTTACAAGATGAGAACCAAGGCAGCCCACGACAAACTGATTCGCCTTAAGGACTTCAAGGTTGGGGACAGTGTGCTCTTGTATAACTCCAAGCTAAGGTTGTTTCCCGGGAAGCTGAGGTCAAAGTGGGCGGGACCATTCAAGATTCACGAAGTTCTACCCTATGGGTCCCTCACTTTGCTCAATCAAGAGGGGAAGGAATTCACAGTGAATGGACATAGATGCAAGCCATATCTAGGAATGACCCCCACAGAGGAGATCATCACTCCTCTAGAAGATCCAACCCCGGCCTAAAAGGGGTAAGGTCAAGCTAAGAGACCTAAAACAAGCTCACTTGGGAGGAATTCCCATGTCTATCTTATGCATTTATACTTTATCCTTTTATTTTTATGATTTTCTTGGCTAGTCTCACAGGAGCAGGTTTTAGGAAGGACGAGTGGCTAACTCGAGGACAACTCGATCGAGTCAAGAGCAAGCTCGATCGAGTGAGCCGAACCCAGTCGAGTGGAGTGCTCCTGATGGCCGTCTACCCATCTCCAGACCACGACCTAGTCCTCCCAGTTCTTTGGGGGGCACTGAGGTATCCAAACACCAACCCTTGTATATACCATTTCATATTTTCTTGCATTTGTTCTTGTTTTTCTTGGTTTTGCCCTCTTGAATCTTTCACTAAATTTTTCTCACACAAGGGACTGTGTGATTTAAGTTTGGGGGAGGGTTCAAGAGATGATTTAACCTTGTTTTCTTTGTTCTTAGTTTTTCATTTATCTTTTGCATAGAAAAACCAAAAAAATCATAAAATTTTCAAAAAATCCAAAAATATTTTCATCTTTTTGCATTCATATTTGTTAGACTTGTTTAGGATTGCATTTTTCACTTGCATTGTTGATTTGACTTTGAAAACTTGTCCATCTTTTGCGATTTCTTGAGTGCCCTGTTTTTAGATTCTTTTGTGCATTAGGGTGAGATTGATTGAGCAGCAAGAACCATGTTTATCTTGATCATATCACTGCATGCACATCTCATTCAACCATTGCTGTGATTTGATGCATTTCCCTATCTATTTGAACCATAACTTGATCTTTAATTACCAATGCTTGCATTTGATTTCAACTCATGGCTACCACATACATATCTGGACATTCTTTACCATTTTCATATCCCTTTGCTTGTCCAGATAGCTGATCTCTATCTTTGAGACAGTTACCACACCTTAAACCTAAGCCTTTTCATTTCAAACCCCATTTTATCTCTTGTGCGAATGTGAGAACCTTTCTTGGCTTTGCTTAGCATAAGGTGTTGTGTTTAAACCGGCAGGGGCAGTAGTTCTAGTTGTCTAGTTCTCTTGGGATTGTTTTCAGGCTAAGTTTGGGGGTGCCAACTCGAGCTCGATCGAGTTGGGTGTAAAAACCAGAAAAGTGGTAAAAGTTGGGAAAAACCAAAGGAAAAAGAGTTTAGTTAAGTCCAGGGAGTTGGCAGTGTTAAAAAGGGTCTAGTAAAGGTTTGGGAAGTTAAAAAAGGAAGTAAAAAGGGTTCTAAGTAGAATGAAAAGAAGGCAAAGCCTCAAGTGTCAAAAAGGAAAGAAAAGTTCCCTAAGTGTTTAGAAAATCCCAAACCGCTAGATGTTACCTCAAGAAGCCTCTCCCTAGGAAGTTCTTAAAAGAAAAGTGAGCAAAGCTCCTCAGTTTCAAAGGCGAAATGCCAAAAAGGGTAGTTAGGATTTTGTTCTAAAAAGCTCTAAGTGTTGAACTCGATCGAGTTAGGATTAGGCGGCTCGAGCTGCTGTTCTTGCATCATCTTTGGTTCTAACACTTAGCCTTCTGCCAAAGCAAAGCCACTTTCTTGAGAGATCCCTGTTACTAAACCACCATACAAAAGAGACCCTCTTTGTCTCTTAACCCATAAACCCTTGAAACCAAATGAGTTGATTGATCTTGCATGTTTTTGGTTCACTGTTTTTGCTTAATGAATGTTAAAGGGATTTGCTGATTTGAATGCATTGTTTGAGTGACTGTGAAGTGGGATTGATGTTGATAAGCATGGTTAAATCTTAATGAATATCTCTCACCTTGTTGCATTCTAGAATCTCTAAGTTGGACATTTAGCAAATCGCTTTTGAGGACATGTTTTTAAGTGTTGAATCAGCTTTTTTCAAACCTCATCTCTTTCTTGTTCTATTTGTTTGCTTGAGGGCAAGCAAAGTTCAAGTTTGGGGGTGTTGATGTACTTGCATTTTACATAGTTTTAGCACATCTTTTATGCATCTTTTGCATAGTTTTAGCTTCCATTTGCATCATATCTTGTTCCTTTTCTCTTCTTATGCATTCATGTTAGTTTTAGGTTGCATTTGCATACATATGCATGTTTGGTCCTTTGAAATAGGTCTTTTGGAGCATTCTGGAGCATATGGGACAAGGAGCATGGAGGGACTTGGCACATGGAAGCAGCTCAACTGGATACGCAAAGGAAGAAGGGAGAAGCCATCTTGAAGACCAGCTCGACCGTCCACTCGACCAACCGGTCGAGTTCCTCAACTCGACCGGCCAAGCTTCAACTCGATCGAGCTGAGAAGTCAAAGTCAAACCCGAAAAATGTTGCTTCCCCCTTGACTTTCCTTTGACCCTAAACCTAATCCTCTTTGTATTTAAAGGCTCTAAGCCACGAAAAAACCACCAAGCTTTAGATTACTTTTGTTTTAGTTTCTTTTAATTTATTGTCTTTTACTTTTTAGAGATCTAATCCCATCTTTGTGTTCTTGAAGCTCTTGCTTCTTGAATCCTTAGATCCTGGATAATCTCTTTGTATTTGCACTTGCTTATTTCAATAAAAGTTGTTTAATTTCATCTCCTCTTTCTTATGATGTCTCTTTTATTGCATTTGCTTGTGTTTACATTCATGTGTAGTGAGTAGTTACCCATTAGGGTTTGAGATGGGATAGATTAGAGGTTTCATATGCTTAATCCTTCTAGCTTATGGTCTTAATCTAGATTCTCTCTCTTTTGGATAGATCTTAAGGCTACATGACCACTACCCCTGGCTTGTAAGTCCTTAGGCGACTCCCCACACGAAAGTGATGGCATTCGCTGGAAAAGATCCACTAAGAGCTCCAATATCTCTTGCTCTAGACAATAGAGGTCTAAGGGGTTGGATGGATTAGTTTGGGCAATGATCCTATAGCCTCCAAGGTTTGATTCTCACTGGCTAACCCCCTGTTTCTGAGATCATTCCTTGGTTGATAGCCTCACCTTGGGAAAGGGTTGGCTAGGCATTGAGAAGCCCAATATCAAGAGAAGCCTTGATACAAGGAGTTTTAAGAGCTAGATTGATTAAGTGTAGATTCCTTTGATTGCAAAACCCTGTCTTGAACCCTAATTCTCTCTTTATCTTGTTAAAGTCGTCACCTTTAGCTTTGTTTGTCTCAACTCGTCCCTAAACTCGATCGAGCTGGTACTTTGCTCTGACTCGACTCGAGTCTTGGTCGAGCTGTACTTCACTGCTTTGTTTACTTTTATTGCACTGCTTTTCATTTTTTTAGGTTGTTAGTGTTACTTCAAATCTATAACTGCTTGCTTGACTTTCGGTTGTTTCATATTCTCAAGAGTGACAAGTTTCCCATTTTGGATTGATAACCCTTTGTACTACATCAACTATCATGGTTAAAGGGAATTGTTGACTGTGTTTGTGTTTGCATCTTACCACCTCATCATATACCACTGATTGCATTCCACCATCTCATTTCATATCTTTTCACATCCACACACAAATCCTATCATCAGGCAGCTTGGGCGGTCAAGGAGCTTAATTTCAATCTTAAAACCGCAGCAGAGAGGCGCCTGATCCAATTGAACGAGCTTGAAGAGATCCGACACCTGGCTTACGAGAACAGCCAGATCTACAAGGAAAAGACCAAAGCGCTCCATGATAGAAACATAGTGCCCAAGTCCTTTGCCGCGAATGACCAGGTCCTGCTTTTCAATTCGAGACTCAAGCTTTTTCCCGGCAAACTACGCTGAAGATGGTCTGGCCCGTTCAAGATAAAAGAAGTCAAGCCATATGGAGCAGTGGTTCTTTGGGACCCTAGTGGAGGAGACTTCACCGTATACGGTCAGAGGCTAAAACCATACCTAGCCAACTCGGAAAAGGGAGTAGAGGAAATCATACCCTTGGCCGATGCACCACAAGAATAAGAAAGAGAAGGAGTCAAGCTAAATGACTTAAAACAAAAGCGCTTTATGGGAGGCAACCCATATGGTTTTTAACTATTATTTCTATTTTGCAGGAGTTTTTCAAAAATCAAACAAAAATACAAAAATATTTTCTTAGGATGAAGACCCAAAGGAGACCAAACAATGGAAAGTGTCCCACCCAATGAGCCCACCCTTGTACAAGGCGTTTCTCTTCAAAAGGTAAGTAAATCTCATCTAGTATTCATTTCATAATCACTCTTGATCTTCACTTGAATCGTTTAAACCATTGCACTTAAACCAAATATTTCATGGTTTAACTTGATTTATTTTGATGATTGAAAGAATACATAATCACTTGTCAAAACTCATTTCGCTCACTGAAATTACAAGAGATTGAACTATAGTTTGAAATTTGGATCATTGACCAAGACCAAATAAGAATTTATAGTTTGTGCTTTAATCTCTTGGATTGTGAACTTCAAGTTGGTCACTTGAGGATCACAATCTGAAGAAACCATCTAATCATGATTTCAAGTGTTTTGCAAGGAGTTAACCATTTGACAGGAAGGAGAAATAAGCAAACCTATAACCAACCTCAAAACCAACATGCATATGGCGGCCAAAGGGAGGTTAAAAGGAGATACAAGGCCATCACACGAAACAAGGCGGCCACCACTTGGGAATGACACAGGAGGGTTATTAAAACAATTCGGTCGAAGAAAATCTCAATTGGCCCGAGTGGATTTGAAGAAATTCAATCCGGACATTTCTCTCGGCCATACCGCGCACAAGGAGACCAAATTACGGCCAACTCCTAAACGGCGTGACCAAAGTCCACCAAACTTCACAGGCGACCATAAAATCACATTGGTCGGCAAATCCAAAAGATAGGACGGAGAAATCATCACGGATCATGAGATAGACGACGGAGCTCATTCTGGCCGATGGCGCGCAAGCAATATGGCCGACAAACCAAATCACGGCATAGGCGCGCCAACCGGTTGGAAAACTCTTCTTTGAGCTTAACTAACACTTTTATGCAGGAAGAAACGAAAAGGAACGAGCCAAACTTCACATGGCCAAGGAAACTCCTTCCCGGAGCCGACTTGACCATTTTGTGAAGGAAGTCTCAATCCGCTCGTAAATGCTCCCAAACTTCACCAGAGGCATAAAATACCAGGTTGGTCGATGAAATTTCAATATAGGTCATGAAATTTTGACGGTTTGTTCTGTAGTTCACAGCACCACATTTTGGCCGACCGAATATACCAATCTCGGCCAAAACACAAACCGGCGGAAACCAAGGCCTGAAATTAAAAACTCACCGACCAATATTGCCTAAAGAAGTGTAGAATGACCCAAACCGGAACTGATCTTCATTATAAATTGGTCGACAATTTGGTAACATCATCCTAAACCTTTTTCTTTTCAATTTTTCATTTGAACTTCATGTTATGCCTCTCTTAATCCGATTTGCTTTCACCGGGACGGTGCAAGTTAAGTCTGGGGGGATTACTAACAATGTTTGTTCATTTTGGCGTTTTCATTTGCATTTTTTCCCTTTTATCGAGTCGTTTTTATTGAGTCAAAATTTTTGTCGAGAATCATGACCTTATCTTGGATCTAACCATGTTGTACTAATGTTTAAGTGACCATTGAGCAGTTCTTGGCAATACATCTTACCACAGGTGCACTATGAGTTGATCGATCTACCAAAAACGCCTACATCTCTAAAGACTTGAGAAGGATCCATCTTTGACTCCGCCCTTAATGAACTTAATCTTCTCAGCTAGGGGCTTGGCATACAAATGGCATGATTCCTCATCCTCTCCATCAAATGAAAAAGTCTTAGTGAGTTCGTGCTTCCCTCTCTCTCCCCTTCAAATTTAAAGAAAAAGCGTAAGGTCCAAGTAACCGGGGATTCGGTGGCAAACACCATCAATACTCGCGTCTATGGAAGGCCTATGAATCCAAGCAACCGGGGATTCGGTGGCAAACACCATCAATACTCGCGTCTGTGGAAGATCCAAGCAAAACCTCTATAATAAAGAGAAGGAGTTGAATAAAAAAATACTTCGCTACCCTAAAAAAGGGATGAATCAACTCAAAGAAGTGAGAAGAGAGAGAGGAGAAACATGGAGTAAAAGACAAGTGCCAAACAAGGGGATGAGTAAGAGTCTAAAGCCGGCTGATCGATACTCCCTAGTTGAGACCACACCTTTAGAAATGAAAGGAGTCAAGGGTGGCGAATTGGATTGTCCAAGGAGAGGTGGACCGCTTTGGGAAAATCGCAAAACTCATGGTATGTACTTTGTTCTTAATTCAAAACTTGCCAATGCTGTTTCATGTGGATTACTAAAGCATAAGTCAATTTGGATTTCCAAAAGATTTGAGAGTTCTCACGTTTTCAAACCTCTTTTCCTGCTTAGTTTGCTTGGGGACAAGCAAAAGGCTAAGTCTGGGGGAGTTGATATCACCATATTTTACATGATTTTACTATATATTACTATGTTTTCAAACGGTTTTTGCAAGATTCTTTGCCTTTAGAGGTAGTTTTCTTGTATTTGTGGGATTTGAAGTCTTTGTAGGTGAAAATCAAAAAGGATGCAAAAAGGAGTAAAAGAGCCCTAAATCAAGATCCATGCAAGTTTCCAAGTCAAGAAGATCATTTTATCTCCAAGTGTTAGTTCTCGCTAGCGCGCAGAACGAAGCTTCGGAAGTTTGGCCGCGCGCGGAGGAGTTCCCGACGTCCAAAAGTTACGATCTTGATATGGAAAGATAGATACTTGAGTCATGCATCACGTCGAAGTGGAATGAAGCCATTTGGATCAACTATGAGGCCGGAACTTATTTTCTACCGAGACATGTCCGGTAAGCGAGAAACGAAGCCCATGGAGGATTTGGAGTGTCTAATGGCCCGAGCAGCAGCGCCAAAGGCCTTGATCGAATAGAGAAGAGGCCTGGCTAATGTTTGGAGCTTTCCTTGGTACAATGTCGGCCCATACACGACGTGGAGAAGAAGGCTCGGCGCATGGAAACTTTCCTTTTCCGCATGAAGAAAACCCTACGCGACTTCGCCCATATATACATGTTTTTAGCCGCTGAGCGCGAGAGTCTAGAGTGTTAAGGTGTGCGCCGTCAGAAAAGAAGAGGAGTAACCCCAGGAAGAAGGAAGAGAAGCCTCTCCGGATCTAAGCCGCATACACGAACGCTCACAAATCGTTGCATCTGTTTCTTGTTATTTTATTTTACGGATTTGGAGTTAAGAGGAAGGATTCAACCTTTTGATCAATAGAGAAGCTTTCTCATCCCTTTTCTCTTTAATATTCGCATGTGCTTTCATTCAAATCTTGTTTGTTTGCTTGCACCATGGCCGAGTAAATCCCTTACTAGGCCGTGGTGGATCAATGAGTGCATAAACCTATAAATGAGGTCTTGTGAATTGAGAATAACCTTTGAGTTCTTCACCTTTACTTGAGCTCTTAGTGGATCTTTTCCAGCGAATGCCATCACTTTCGTGTGGGGAGTCGCCTAAGGACTTACAAGCCAGGGGTAGTGGTCATGTAGCCTTAAGATCTATCCAAAAGAGAGAGAATCTAGATTAAGACCATAAGCTAGAAGGATTAAGCATATGAAACCTCTAATCTATCCCATCTCAAACCCCAATGGGTAACTACTCACTACACATGAATGTAAACACAAGCAAATGCAATAAAAGAGACATCATAAGAAAGAGGAGATGAAATAAACAACTTTTATTGAAATAAGCAAGTGCAAATACAAAGAGATTATCCAGGATCTAGGATTCAAGAAGCAAGAGCTTCAAGAACACAAAGATGGGATTAGATCTCTAAAAAGTAAAAGACAATAAATTAAAGAAACTAAAACAAAATAATCTAAAGCTTGGTGGTTTTTTCGTGGCTTAGAGCCTTTAAATACAAGAGGTTTTAGGTTTAGGGTCAAAGGAAAGTCAAGGGGGAAGCAACATTTTTCGGGTTTGACTGTTGACTTCTCAGCTCGATCGAGTTGAAGCTTGGCCGGTCGAGTTGAGGAACTCGACCGGTTGGTCGAGTAGACGGTCGAGCTGGTCTTCAAGATGGCTTCTCCCTTCTTCCTTTGCGTATCCAGTTGAGCTGCGTCCATGTGCCAAGTCCCTCCATGCTCCTCATGTCCATATGCTCCAGAATGCTCCAAAAGACCTATTTCAAAGGACCAAACATGCATATGTATGCAAATGCAACCTAAAACTAACATGAATGCATAAGAAGAGAAAAGGAACAAGATATGATGCAAATGAAAGCTAAAACTATGCAAAAGATGCATAAAAGATGTGCTAAAACTATGTAAAATGCAAGTACATCAGAGTCTAGAGAGTGTTAAGGTGTGCGCCGTCAGAAAAGAAGAGGAGTAACCCCAGGAAGAAGGAAGAGAAGCCTCTCCGGATCTAAGCCGCATACACGAACGCTCACAAATCGTTGCATCTTTATTCTTGTTATTTTATTTTACGGATTTGGAGTTAAGAGGAAGGATTCAACCTTTTCATCAATAGAGAAGCTTCTCCCATCCCTTTTCTCTTTAATATTCGCATGATGCTTTCATTCAAATCTTGTTTGTTTGCTTGCACCATGGCCGAGTAAATCCCTTACTAGGCCGTGGTGGATCAATGAGTGCATAAACCTATAAATGAGAGTCTTGTGAATTGAGAATAACCTTTGAGTTCTTCACCTTTACTTGAGCATAATGCCGTTTGCTTTTCTGATCATCTAGCATCGGATCTTGGGTTAATATACTCTCCAAAAGCTTGTTATATTGTCGGAACTAGTATTTGGTGAGCGATAGTTCACGGCCAACGAAAGTTGAGTTGTGGGTATTGTGAACAATTAAATCTTGAACATCTTTAATGCATGTTTACAACTTTTAATAACCAACGAAAGCTGAGTCTATTAGGTTGTTTAAACATAGTAGTTGGAGCCACGAAAGTGGAAAAACTATATCTTAGTGATTTAAGTTCGAGAATGGTCTATAATAAACCTCTTTCACTTGATTTCTTTGTTTAGGTTTGTTGCATCTCGGCGATCCACCATTGTCTAGTGTTTCTCCTTATTGATCTCATCCATTTCCATCTATTCATTATTGTCAAAACACTCTCAAACCATATTTTGCTTTAGCTTGTTTCAACTCTTACTCTTGTAGCACAATCGATAGGTCCTTGTGGATTCGATCCCATACTATACTTACCTCGTTGCTGTGCACTTGCAGGTACTTAAGTTGGGTAAAACTTGAAGACAAACCCAGCTTGCATCAAGTTTTTGGCGCCGTTGCCGGGGACCTTCTTGTCTACAAGATCGGACGAGAATCTAGACTAAAGCGCATTTTACTCTTTAATTGTTTTGTTCTTTTTGACAGGCACAACTTGAGCGTGCCATGGCTGGAGAAGTACGTGACCAGCAACCAAATCCTTGGAGGAACCATCTTGATGAGCCGCCTTTGGACGAGGTCCAAGACCGCATACCACGAGAAGGCCTTGGACCGGAGCTTAACCGAGCCGATGGGCTACACCGAGGAGACTTAGGCGATCACCAAGGAGGGGAGAACCAAGAGACCGTTGGAGACAGTGACTCTAGACCAGAGCTTCTCCAAAGCCGTAGCCCTATCCGGACTTACGAGGGCCACCAGTTTGAAATCAAGCCGCGAGTTATCGCTTTGGTAAAACAAAGTCAATACCACGGGCTTATTGAAGAAGATCCGTTGGATCATGTCGATTCCTTTGAGGAATTGTGCAGCACAACTAGTGCAAATGGAGTTCCTGGCGACTACTTGAGATGCCGGCTCTTTACCTTTACCTTGGCGGGAAAAGCACTCAAGTGGCTCAAGTCTCTCCCGTCTCGCTCAATCACTACATGGATGGAGTTCAAGAAAGCTTTTCTTGGTCAGTTTTATACAAAGCAGCGGACTAGTTTGATGAGGAGCAAGATCGTTGGCTTTCAGCAAGGGCCAATAGAGCCGTATCATGAGGGATTGGAGCGCTTCAAGGAATACATAAGAGATTGTCCACAACATGGCTTCTCGGAAGTAAACTTGTGGAACACGTTTTATGAGGGAATAAGGCGCGAGCACAAGCTGTATCTTGATATAGCTAGCAACGGGAACTTCATGAGTAAGTCCATAGAGGAAGCCAAAACGTTGATTGATAACTTAGCGGTCAGTGACAGCAAGAATCAACCGAGCTATGAAGAAACGATCAAGGCAATCAACGCGAGACCGGGACTAGTTGAGTTTGAGGAGCTGAAGTCCATGATCGCTAAACTTTTGGAGAGAGAACCGGAGCATCGCCTGAGCCCCCGTGAGAACAATATGCAACGGACCAAGGTCGATGAGAGGGAGGTACTCTACATAAGCAAGCAAGAGATACAACATCCGGCTGAAACCCGACTTGGCGCTAAGGAGCATGGAGGAGAGCTCAAAGCCTTGATGTATGATTTCATTGGTGAACAGAGAAGAGCGAACAAGGAGATCAACGAGAAGATACACTATGTGTATCACGACTTGAACAATAAATTTGGGTCGCTGGAGTCGCACATCAAGGAGCTTGATCTTCAAATAGCAAACATAGCCAGTACAATCAAGAAACCGCTTGGAGTCCTCCCGGGTCGAACTGAGGCTAACCCCAAGAAGGAACATATAGCGGCCATCACCCTTAGAAGCGGTACGCAGTTAGACGAAGTGGAGTTGACTGTTGACTTCTCAGCTCGATCGAGTTGAAGCTTGGCCGGTCGAGTAGACGGTCGAGCTGGTCTTCAAGATGGCTTCTCCCTTCTTCCTTTGCGTATCCAGTTGAGCTGCGTCCATGTGCCAAGTCCCTCCATGCTCCTCATGTCCCATATGCTCCAGAATGCTCCAAAAGACCTATTTCAAAGGACCAAACATGCATATGTATGCAAATGCAACCTAAAACTAACATGAATGCATAAGAAGAGAAAAGGAACAAGATATGATGCAAATGGAAGCTAAAACTATGCAAAAGATGCATAAAAGATGTGCTAAAACTATGTAAAATGCAAGTACATCAACACCCCCAAACTTGAACTTTGCTTGCCCTCAAGCAAACAAATAGAACAAGAAAGAGATGAGGTTTGAAAACAAGCTGATTCAACACTTAAAAACATGTCCTCAAAAGCGATTTGCTAAATGTCCAACTTAGAGATTCTAGAATGCAACAAGGTGAGAGATATTCATTAAGATTTAACCATGCTTATCAACATCAATCCCACTTCACAGTCACTCAAACAATGCATTCAAATCAGCAAATCCCTTTAACATTCATTAAGCAAAAACAGTGAACCAAAAACATGCAAGATCAATCAACTCATTTGGTTTCAAGGGTTTATGGGTTAAGAGACAAAGAGGGTCTCTTTTGTATGGTGGTTTAGTAACAGGGATCTCTCAAGAAAGTGGCTTTGCTTTGGCAGAAGGCTAAGTGTTAGAACCAAAGATGATGCAAGAACAGCAGCTCGAGCCGCCTAATCCTAACTCGATCGAGTTCAACACTTAGAGCTTTTTAGAACAAAATCCTAACTACCCTTTTTGGCATTTCGCCTTTGAAACTGAGGAGCTTTGCTCACTTTTCTTTTAAGAACTTCCTAGGGAGAGGCTTCTTGAGGTAACATCTAGCGGTTTGGGATTTTCTAAACACTTAGGGAACTTTTCTTTCCTTTTTGACACTTGAGGCTTTGCCTTCTTTTCATTCTACTTAGAACCCTTTTTACTTTCCTTTTTTAACTTCCCAAACCTTTACTAGACCCTTTTAACACTGCCAACTCCCTGGACTTAACTAAACTCTTTTTCCTTTGGGTTTTTCCCAACTTTTACCACTTTTCTGGTTTTTACACCCAACTCGATCGAGCTCGAGTTGGCACCCCCAAACTTAGCCTGAAAACAATCCCAAGAGAACTAGACAACTAGAACTACTGCCCCTGCCGGTTTAAACACAACACCTTATGCTAAGCAAAGCCAAGAAAGGTTCTCACATTCGCACAAGAGATAATATGGGGTTTGAAATGAAAAGGCTTAGGTTTAAGGTGTGGTAACTGTCTCAAAGATGGAGATCAGCTATCTGGACAAGCAAAAGGGATATGAAAATAGGTAAAGAATGTCCAGATATGTATGTGGTAGCCATGAGTTGAAATCAAATGCAAGCATTGGTAATTAAAGATCAAGTTATGGTTCAAATAGATAGGGAAATGCATCAAATCACAGCAATGGTTGAATGAGATGTGCATGCAGTGATATGATCAAGATAAACATGGTTCTTGCTGCTCAATCAATCTCACCCTAATGCACAAAAGAATCTAAAAACAGGGCACTCAAGAAATCGCAAAAGATGGACAAGTTTTCAAAGTCAAATCAACAATGCAAGTGAAAAATGCAATCCTAAACAAGTCTAACAAATATGAATGCAAAAAGATGAAAATATTTTTGGATTTTTTGAAAATTTTATGATTTTTTTGGTTTTTCTATGCAAAAGATAAATGAAAAACTAAGAACAAAGAAAACAAGGTTAAATCATCTCTTGAACCCTCCCCCAAACTTAAATCACACAGTCCCTTGTGTGAGAAAAATTTAGTGAAAGATTCAAGAGGGCAAAACCAAGAAAAAACAAGAACAAATGCAAGAAAATATGAAATGGTATATACAAGGGTTGGTGTTTGGATACCTCAGTGTCCCCCAAAGAACTGGGAGACTAGGTCGTGGTCTGGAGATGGTAGACGGCCATCAGGAGCACTCCACTCACTGTTCGGCTCACTCGATCGAGCTTGCTCTTGACTCGATCGAGTTGTGCCTCGAGTTAGCCACTCTTCTTCCTAAAACCTGCTCCTGTGAGACTCAGCCAAGAAAAATCATAAAATAAAAGGATAAAGCATAAATACATAAGATAGACATGGGAATTCCTCCCAAGTGAGCTTGTTTTAGGTCTCTTAGCTTGACCTTACCCCTTTTAGGCCGGGGTTGGATCTTCTAGAGGAGTGATGATCTCCTCTGTGGGGGTCATTCCTAGATATGGCTTGCATCTATGTCCATTCACTGTGAATTCCTTCCCCTCTTGATTGAGTAAAGTGAGGGACCCATAGGGTAGAACTTCGTGAATCTTGAATGGTCCCGCCCATTTGACCTCAGCTTCCCGGGAAACAACCTTAGCTTGGAGTTATACAAGAGCACACTGTCCCCAACCTTGAAGTCCTTAAGGCGAATCAGTTTGTCGTGGGCTGCCTTGGTTCTCATCTTGTAAATCCTAGAGTTCTCATAGGCATTCATTCTTATCTCCTCCAGCTCAAACAAGTTCATTACCCTCCTTTCTTGTGCTGCCTTTATATCAAAGTTCAGCATCTTTACTGCCCATAAAGCCTTATATTCGACCTCCACAGGTAAGTGGCAGTCCTTCCCATACAGCAAATTGAAAGGAGACCTTCCAATGGGGGTTTTGTAGGCTGTTCTATAAGCCCAAAGTGCCTCATCAAGCCTTGCTGCCCAGTCTTTCCTAGTGAAGCTCACAGTCTTCTCCAATATGGCCTTGATCTGTCTGTTGGAGACTTCAACTTGCCCACTGGTTTGAGGGTGATAAGGTGTGGCGACCTTGTGTTTGACTCCATGGCTTCTCATCAACTTTTCAAACACCTTGTTGATGAAATGGGAGCCTCCATCCGAAATAACAACCCTTGGGATGCCGAACCTTGGAAAGATGATGGTTCTGAAAAGCTTGACAACCACCTTGGCGTCACAGGTTGGGCAGGGAATGGCTTCAATCCATTTGGATACATAGTCTACAGCAACCAAAATGTAGTTGTGCCCGTTTGAAGAAGGTTTGAAAGGTCCCATGAAGTCTATTCCCCATACATCAAAGATCTCAACCTCTAGAATTGGGTTTAGTGGCATCTCGTCCCTCTTGGTGATCCCTCCTTTCCTTTGGCACGGATCACACTTGGCAATGTAGTCTGCTGCATCCTTAAACAAAGTAGGCCACCATAAACCAGATTGCAAAACCTTAGTTGCTGTTTTGAATGTAGCAAAGTGACCTCCGTAAGCTGACCCATGGCAATGCTCTAGAACTCCTTGCACATCCTCTTCAGCAATGCATCTTCTGTAAATGCTGTCTGGTCAAAGTGAGGGACCCATAGGGTAGAACTTCGTGAATCTTGAATGGTCCCGCCCACTTTGACCTCAGCTTCCCGAGAAACAACCTTAGCTTGGAGTTATACAAGAGCACACTGTCCCCAACCTTGAAATCCTTAAGGCGAATCAGTTTGTCGTGGGCTGCCTTGGTTCTCATCTTGTAAATCCTAGAGTTCTCATAGGCATTCATTCTTATCTCTTCCAGCTCAAACAAGTTCATTACCCTCCTTTCTTGTGCTGCCTTTATATCAAAGTTCAGCATCTTTACTGCCCATAAAGCCTTATATTCGACCTCCACAGGTAAGTGGCAGTCCTTCCCATACAGCAAATTGAAAGGAGACCTTCCAATGGGGGTTTTGTAGGCTGTCCTGTAAGCCCAAAGTGCCTCATCAAGCCTTGCTGCCCAGTCTTTCCTAGTGAAGCTCACAGTCTTCTCCAATATGGCCTTGATCTGTCTGTTGGAGACTTCAACTTGCCCACTGGTTTGAGGGTGATAAGGCGTGGCGACCTTGTGTTTTACTCCGTGGCTTCTCATCAAATTTTCAAACACCTTGTTGATGAAATGGGAGCCTCCATCTGAAATAACAACCCTCGGGATGCCGAACCTTGGAAAGATGATTGTTCTGAAAAGCTTGACAACCACCTTGGCGTCACAAGTTGGGCAGGGAATGGCTTCAATCCATTTGGATACATAGTCTACAGCAACCAAAATGTAGTTGTGCCCGTTTGAAGAGGGTTTGAAAGGTCCCATGAAGTCTATTCCCCATACATCAAAAATCTCAACCTCTAGAATTGGGTTTAGTGGCATCTCGTCCGTCTTGGTGATCCCTCCTTTCCTTTGGCACGGATCACACTTGGCAATGTAGTCTGCTGCATCCTTAAACAAAGTAGGCCACCATAAACCCGATTGCAAAACCTTAGTTGCTGTTTTGAATGTAGCAAAGTGACCTCCATAAACTGACCCATGGCAATGCTCTAGAACTCCTTGCACATCCTCTTCAGCAATGCACCTCCTGTAAATGTTGTCTGGTCCTCTCTTGTACAGGTAGAATTGGGTTTAGTGGCATCTCGTCCGTCTTGGTGATCCCTCCTTTCCTTTGGCACGGATCACACTTGGCAATGTAGTCTGCTGCATCCTTAAACAAAGTAGGCCACCATAAACCCGATTGCAAAACCTTAGTTGCTGTTTTGAATGTAGCAAAGTGACCTCCATAAACTGACCCATGGCAATGCTCTAGAACTCCTTGCACATCCTCTTCAGCAATGCACCTCCTGTAAATGTTGTCTGGTCCTCTCTTGTACAGGTAGAATTGGGTTTAGTGGCATCTCGTCCGTCTTGGTGATCCCTCCTTTCCTTTGGCACGGATCACACTTGGCAATGTAGTCTGCTGCATCCTTAAACAAAGTAGGCCACCATAAACCCGATTGCAAAACCTTAGTTGCTGTTTTGAATGTAGCAAAGTGACCTCCATAAACTGACCCATGGCAATGCTCTAGAACTCCTTGCACATCCTCTTCAGCAATGCACCTCCTGTAAATGCTGTCTGGTCCTCTCTTGTACAGGTAGAATTGGGTTTAGTGGCATCTCGTCCCTCTTGGTGATCCCTCCTTTCCTTTGGCACGGATCACACTTGGCAATGTAGTCTGCTGCATCCTTAAACAAAGTAGGCCACCATAAACCCAGATTGCAAAACCTTAGTTGCTGTTTTGAATGTAGCAAAGTGACCTCCATAAGCTGACCCATGGCAATGCTCTAGAACTCCTTGCACATCCTCTTCAGCAATGCATCTCCTGTAAATGCTGTCTGGTCCTCTCTTGTACAGGTAGGGCTCATCCCAATAGTAATGCCTAGCATCCTTGAAGAATTTCTTCCTCTTGTAAGCATCAAAGCTACTAGGGACTTCTCCGGACACCATGAAGTTCACTATATCAGCATACCATGGCAAATTCTCATCACGCAGAGCCTTAACTTCTTCCAGCCTGGCTTTCTCATCAAAACTCTCCTTCAAGATCATGATTGCCATAAGCTGTTCTTCAGGCATAGAATCATTGATGGGGATCATGTCTTCAACTCGCATCCTAGAGAGATGATCAGCAACTCCATTTTCTACTCCCTTTTTGTCCACAACTTCTATGTCAAACTCTTGAAGCAAAAGGATCCATCTGAGAAGTCTTGGCTTTGTATCTTTCTTAGCGAAGATGTGTCTAAGGGCAGCATGGTCAGTGTGCACAATCACCTTGGATCCAACTATATAGCTTCGAAACTTCTCAAAGGCAAAGACTATGGCAAGGAGTCCTTCTCTGTGGTTGCATACTTGCACTGAGCATCATCCATAGTCTTGCTTGCATAGTAGATGACATTGAGTTTCTTGTCTATCTTTTGGCCAAGCACTGCTCCTACTGCATAGTCAGATGCATCACACATAATCTCAAATGGGTGATCCCAGTTTGGAGCTTGTACTATTGGCGCAGACACCAGAGCATCCTTCAGCAAGGTCCAAGACTTGTGGCATTCTTCATCAAACTCAAAATCTGTCTCCTTGCACAGAAGCCTTGTCAAGGGTCTTGCTATCTTTGAGAAATCCTTGATGAATCTTCTGTAGAACCCTGCATGACCCAGAAAACTCCTTATGTCCTTCACAGTCTTGGGAACAGGGAGCTGCAACATGACATCCACCTTAGCTCGATCGAGCTCGATCCCTTTCTCGGAAATCTTGTGTCCAAGCACAATCCCTTCTCGAACCATGAAGTGGCACTTCTCCCAGTTGAGTACTAGATTGGTCTCCTCACACCTCTGCAACACCCTGCACAAGTTAGACAAACATGAGGAGAAGGATGCTCCATAGACTGAGAAATCGTCCATGAAGACTTCTACCATCTCCTCTATCAGATCTGAAAAAATGGAGGTCATGCACCTCTGGAAAGTAGCTGGAGCATTGCACAGCCCAAATGGCATCCTTCGATAAGCAAAGGTGCCATAAGGGCATGTGAAAGTGGTCTTCTCCTGATCATTAGGGTGGATCGGGATTTGGAAGAAACCACTGTAGCCATCAAGAAAACAATAAAAAGGGTGGTTTGCCAATCTTTCTAACATCTGATCAATGAAAGGGAGAGGGAAATGATCCTTTCTAGATGCTGAATTTAGCTTCCTATAGTCAATACACATGCGATGCCCCACTATTGTTCTAGTGGGAATCAGCTCCTCTTTGTCGTTTTTAATGACAGTGATCCCCCCTTTCTTTGGGACGCAATGAACTGGAGATATCCAAGTGCTATCACTGATGGGATAGATTATCCCAGCATCAAGCAACTTGAGTATCTCTTTCTTCACTACTTCCTTTAGATTGGGGTTCAATTCTTTGAGGTTCAATGCTTGACTTACTTTCATCCTCTAGATGAATCCTATGGATGCATAGGTCAGGGGAGATCCCCTTGATATCATCTAGAGTGTAACCTATTGCCTTTCTGTACTTTCTCAATTCAACAAGCAAAGCACTCAACTGTTCAGGTTCCAAATCAGAGTTCACAATGACAGGGTAAGTTGAGTTTTCACCCAGAAATGCATACCTGAGGCCCTCAGGCAAAGGTTTGAGGTCGACTTTAGGCGCCTTGAGCTCAGACCAATCTCCTTGAGCTTGCTCCTTGCATTCAGCCCCAGCTCGATCGAGTTCGTTTGTTCGAAACTCGACTCGATCGAGTTCTTGATCGAGCTCACTGCCATGACTTCGCAAACTGGCCTGTCCAATCCTCAATGCTCAGAATGTTTGGAACTGGTCTGAAGGTGTCAAGGAGCTTCTTGTACTCATCAGTTTCTGAGCTCACATATCCTTCTGAAGAATCCTTGGTCAAAGCAACTTGTAGGGATCCTCTGTTGATAACTCTTCTAGAAGCTCATCTGCCAACTGATCCATTTCCTCAACATAAAAGAGCTGACCTTCTATAGTTGGTTTCCTCATTGTATCCTTGATATCAAACTTCATCTTCAGGTCCTTTCCCAAGTTTAACTCAATTGTTCCTTCACAGACATCTATCATTGCTCTTGCTGTAGCTAGGAATGGCCTTCCTAGAATCAATGGATCTGTTGGTTCCTCATCCATCTCAAGCACAATGAAGTCTGTGGGGATTTCCACATTCCCTATCCTCAAAGGCAGGTCTTCAAGCATCCCAGTTGGTAACCTTATCGATCTATCTGCCAAGACTAGTGAGATTCCGCAGGCTTGGTACTTGTGATATCCCAGTCTCTTTGCTACAGACAAAGGCATGAGGCTGACAGATGATCCTAGATCGCAGAGGCTGTTTTTGAAAGATAGGGGTCCCAACATGCAGGGCAAAGTGAAACTCCCCGGATCTTCCTTTTTGTCGGAGATGACCTTCCGCTGAATGATTGCACTGCACTCGCGAGTCAACACTACCATCCCTTGTGCTTCCCTGGTTCTTTGCTGAACAGCATCCTTCAGAAATTTCTGATAAGGTGGAATGAGCATCAAGGCGTCGATGAAGGGCAACTTCAGCTCAAGCTGTCTCATTAGTTCATCAAACTTGGCCTTGTGTGCTTCCAACAGTTGTTTCTTGAACCTTCCTGGAAAGGGCAGAGGGGGCTTGTATGGTGGTGGTCCTGCTGGAGTGTCTTTCTTCTTTGCAACAGGTTTAGCTGGTTGGCTGGAGTTTGCTTTGTCTGTCTCTTCTGGCTCGATCGAGCTCTGGTTTGTCTTGCAGTGTCTCAGTTTCTTCAGCTCGATCGAGTTCTGGTTCAGGGTTTTGTTCCAGCTCGATCGAGTTCGGGTCGAGTTATCAGCATAGTCGACTAAATCCTCCCCTTCCTCGTCATCGATGTCCACAGCGATTTGGGGTGGGCTACCTCTACTCGGGAATTGCTCCACTTCTTAGTGTAACTGCTTGGGCATACTCTTGTGGTGAAGAGGATGATGCACTTGAAGACTCAATGATTTGGACTCTTGAAGTCAATGACTCTAGTTTAGAGTGTATCTCAACCAGCTTGTTGTTCATTTCCAGAGAACCTTTGGCTTGCCCTTGTAAAAGTTGTTGGAGCATTTCCTTCATATCCCAATCTTGAGTTGGTTGGGTATGAGTAGTCCTTGTGTTGAAGCCTTGTGGAACACTTTGTTGTTGGTGCGGCCAGGGGGCTTGATAATTGTTGTATCGCCCTTGTTGAGGATTCCTATAGCTTCCTTGTCTATTTTGAATGTAGCAAACTTCTTGTGTTGTCTCCTCCCCTTCCTGGTCCTTGACTAAGGTTTGTTCTGAGACATAGTTGACATGCTTGGCAGGGAATTGGGCTAGGATCAGTTTGTCCAACTTCGAGTTGAGTGCAAGCATGTCTTTTCTCATCTGAGCTCCAGCTCGATCGAGTGCGCGGTCGAGCTCCATCTGTACTTTCATACTGCTCTCCATAGCATTCTGTTGATATGGCCATGTTCTCCACAAGTTGCCAGCCATCATCTACATCCTGGTTGAGGAAGTTCCCATTGCTAGCTGTGTCTAGCATCTCCCTATACCTAGGCAAGCATCCTCTATAAAGAGTGGAGAGTAGTGATTCATTGTTGAATCCATGGTGTGGGCACTGACTTGTGTAGCCTTTGAACCTCTCCCAAGCCTCTGCGAATGTCTCATTGTTTCGCTGGATGAAGCTGGATATCTCTCCTCTAAGCTTGGCTGTGCGACCGGTGGAGAAAAACTTAGCAAGAAAGGCCTTCTTGCATTCATCCCAAGTGGTGATTGTGCCATGGGGCAAGCTCTTCTCCCATTGGTGAGCTTTGTCAGCTAGAGACATAGGAAAGAGTCTCAGCTTGATGGCATCTTCAGAGACACCATTGATCTTTGTCAAATCACAAAGCCTATCAAACTCATCAAGGTGGTCAATGGGGTCTTCACTTGGCAATCCATGGAACATCTTGTTCTGGACAAGGTTGATCATTCCCAGCTTGATCTCAAAGTTGTGGTTCTGCACTGGTGGTGGAACAATCCCTTGTCTCTGTTGGTGGCGGTTTGGAGCATCTCCTTGACCAATCGGTCGAGTTTGCCTAGCTCGACCGAGTCCATTGCCCAAAGGGTTTCCATTCCCCTCTGGTACATCCATTGTATCAGCAACAAGCACCTCAGGTTCCTCTTGTACCCTCTGTGACCTCTGAACCCTCTTTCTACCCGTTGTAAGTCTAGCTCGACCAAGTCTTCAGTAGACCGACTCGATCGAGTTCGCATACACCTGCAAAAAGAGACAAAAACCCAGCAGTACAATAGAACAGGGGTGGTATAGCTTGATCGTCCAAGTGTGTTTGAAACTCAAATGCAACAAAAATATTCCCAAATCGGCAACGGCGCCAAATTGATGATAGGATTTGTGTGTGGATGTGAAAAGATATGAAATGAGATGGTGGAATGCAACAGTGGTATATGATGAGGTGGTAAGATGCAAACACAAACACAGTCAACAATTCCCTTTAACCATGATAGTCATGTAGTACAAAGGGTTATCAATCCAAAATGGGAAACTTGTCACTCTATGAGAATATGAAACAACCAGAAAGTCAAGCAAGCAGTTATAGAAAAGCAGTGCAATAAAAGTAAACAAAGCAGTGAAGTACAGCTCGACCAAGAGCTCGAGTCGAGTCAGAGCAAAGTACCAGCTCGATCGAGTTTAGGGACGAGTTGAGACAAACAAAGCTAAAGGTGACGACTTTAACAAGATAAAGAGAGAATTAGGGTTCAAGACAGGGTTTTGCAATCAAAGGAATCTACACTTAATCAATCTAGCTCTTAAAACTCCTTGTATCAAGGCTTCTCTTGATATTGGGCTTCTCAATGCCTAGCCAACCCTTTCCCAAGGTGGAGGCTATCAACCAAGGAATGATCTCAGAAACAGGGGGTTAGCCAGTGAGAATCAAACCTTGGAGGCTATAGGATCATTGCCCAAACTAATCCATCCAACCCCTTAGACCTCTATTGTCTAGAGCAAGAGATATTGGAGCTCTTAGTGGATCTTTTCCAGCGAATGCCATCACTTTCGTGTGGGGAGTCGCCTAAGGACTTACAAGCCAGGGGTAGTGGTCATGTAGCCTTAAGATCTATCCAAAAGAGAGAGAATCTAGATTAAGACCATAAGCTAGAAGGATTAAGCATATGAAACCTCTAATCTATCCCATCTCAAACCCTAATGGGTAACTACTCACTACACATGAATGTAAACACAAGCAAATGCAATAAAAGAGACATCATAAGAAAGAGGAGATGAAATTAAACAACTTTTATTGAAATAAGCAAGTGCAAATACAAAGAGATTATCCAGGATCTAGGATTCAAGAAGCAAGAGCTTCAAGAACACAAAGATGGGATTAGATCTCTAAAAAGTAAAAGACAATAAATTAAAAGAAACTAAAACAAAATAATCTAAAGCTTGGTGGTTTTTTCGTGGCTAGAGCCTTTAAATACAAAGAGGATTAGGTTTAGGGTCAAAGGAAGTCAAGGGGGAAGCAACATTTTTCGGGTTTGACTTTGACTCCCCAGCTCGATCGAGTTGAAGCTTGGCCGGTCGAGTTGAGGAACTCGACCGGTTGGTCGAGTGGACGGTCGAGCTGGTCTTCAAGATGGCTTCTCCCTTCTTCCTTTGCGTATCCAGTTGAGCTGCTTCCATGTGCCAAGTCCCTCCATGCTCCTTTGTCCCATATGCTCCAGAATGCTCCAAAAGACCTATTTCAAAGGACCAAACATGCATATGTATGCAAATGCAACCTAAAACTAACATGAATGCATAAGAAGAGAAAAGGAACAAGATATGATGCAAATGGAAAGCTAAAACTATGCAAAAGATGCATAAAAGATGTGCTAAAACTATGTAAAATGCAAGTACATCACTGCCTTGTACTCTAGTTCCACCGGTAGATGGCACACTTTGCCATAGACGAGATGAAATGGAGTTGTCCTGAGAGATGTCTTGAAAGCAGTCCTATATGCCCAAAGAGCGTCGTCTAGCTTGGCCGACCAATCTTTTCTATTCTTCCCACTTGTCTTTTGTAGGATGCTCTTCAATTCCCTGTTTGAAATCTCCACTTGGCCGCTAGTTTGTGGATGATAGGGTCTCGCTACCTTGTGCCGCACTCCATATTTCTTTAGAAGGTTTGCAAAGATCCGATTGATGAAGTGTGAGCCTCCGTCACTTATCACAACTCTTGGAACTCCAAATCTTGGGAATATGATCGATTTGAACATTTTGATCACCACGCTTGAGTCATTTGTTGGAGCGGCTAGCGCTTCAACCCATTTGGAGACATAGTCCACTGCTACTAGTATGTATTGATCTCCAAAGGATGTGGGGAAGGGTCCCATGAAATCAATTCCCCAAACATCGAATACCTCAACTTCCAAGATAAAGTTTTGCGGCATTTCATTCCTTTTGCTTATGTTCCCCATTCTTTGGCAAGCATCACAACGTGAGATGAATGCTTGAGCGTCTTTAAACATTGTAGGCCACCAAAAACCCGCTTGCAAGACCTTAGAGACTGTCTTGAACGTGGGAAAATGACCTGCGTAAGCTGATTCGTGACATCCATGCAGAATCCCGGCTATCTCTTCCTCCGGCACGCATTTTCTAAACAATCCGTCTTGGCACTTCTTGTAGAGGTATGGCTCGTCCCAGAAGTAAAATCTGATGTCCTTGAGGAATTTCTTCTTCTTGTATCCATAGAAGTGCGGAGGTTCTATGTCGGCCGCGAGGTAGTTAGCTATGTGACGATACCAAGTTGCGCCAAAGGCAATTCTCCTCTCCGTGGTGGCTCTTGGTGTGGTCTCCTCTCTCGATATAGGTACTGCACTGACTGCATAGACCGTTTCCTCTGGTAACGGGTCATCTATAGGTATGCTCTCTTCGATTCTCATTCTTGACAGATGGTCGGCAATGCCATTCTCCGCGCCTTTCCTATCAACGATCTTTAGGTCAAATTCTTGCAAAAGAAGTATCCACCGTATAAGTCTTGGCTTTGCATCTTTCTTTGACAGCAGATACTTGAGAGCCGCATGATCGGTATGCACTGTAAGTTTCGAGCCAACAAGATAAGAGCGAAACTTCTCGAATGCAAATACAATCGCTAATAACTCCTTCTCCGTGGTGGCATAGTTGCATTGTGCCTCGTCGAGGGTCCGGCTTGCATAGTATATGACGTGGAGTTTCTTCTCTTTCCTTTGGCCTAGCACAGCTCCAACGGCGTAGTCGCTTGCGTCGCACATAATCTCAAAAGGAAGTTCCCAATCCGGTGATTGTACGATCGGCGCGCTAATGAGAGCCTCTTTGATTTTCTTGAACGCCGCGAGGCATTCTCCATTGAATTCAAACGCCACTTCTTTGCAAAGTAACTGAGTGAGAGGGCACGCTATCTTGGAGAAGACTTTTATGAACCTCCTATAAAAGCCCGCGTGCCCGAGGAAGCTTCTCACTCCTTTTACGTTCTTGGGCGGTTCCAAGTTCACCATTACCTCGATCTTGGCTTTGTCAACCTCAATGCCTCTCTCCGAGATTCTATGACCGAGTGATGATAGGATGTTTGTGTGTGAAAAGAAGTGAAATGAGGATGAGTGGAATGCAATCAGTGGTAAATGAAGGTGGTAAGATGCAAACACAAACACAGTCAACAATTCCTCTTAACCATCATAGTCATTGAAGTATAAGAGGTTATCAATCCAAAATGGGAAACTTGTCACTCTATGAGAATATGAAACAACCAGGAAGTCAAGCAAGCAGTTATAGATTTGAAGTAACACTAACAACCTAAGAAAAGAAATGCAGTGCAATAAAAGTAAACAAAGCAGTGAAGTGTCAGCTCGACCAAGAGCTCGAGTCGAGTAGAGCAAAGTACCAGCTCGATCGAGTTTAGGGACGAGTTGAGACAAACAAAGCTAAAGGTGACGACTTTAACAAGATAAAGAGAGAATTAGGGTTCAAGACAGGGTTTTGCAATCAAAGGAATCTACACTTAATCAATCTAGCTCTTAAAACTCCTTGTATCAAGGCTTCTCTTGATATTGGGCTTCTCAATGCCTAGCCAACCCTTTCCCAAGGTGGAGGCTATCAACCAAGGAATGATCTCAGAAACAGGGGGTTAGCCAGTGAGAATCAAACCTTGGAGGCCATAGGATCATTGCCCAAACTAATCCATCCAACCCCTTAGACCTCTATTGTCTAGAGCAAGAGATATTGGAGCTCTTAGTGGATCTTTTCCAGCGAATGCCATCACTTCCGTGTGGGGAGTCGCCTAAGGACTTACAAGCCAGGGGTAGTGGTCATGTAGCCTTAAGATCTATCCAAAAGAGAGAGAATCTAGATTAAGACCATAAGCTAGAAGGATTAAGCATATGAAACCTCTAATCTATCCCATCTCAAACCCTAATGGGTAACTACTCACTACACATGAATGTAAACACAAGCAAATGCAATAAAAGAACATATAAGAAAGAGGAGATGAAATTAAACAACTTTTATTGAAATAAGCAAGTGCAAATACAAAGAAGATTAATCCAGGATCTAGGATTCAAGAAGCAAGAGCTTCAAGAACACAAAGATGGGATTAGGGTTGCTAAAAAGTAAAGACAATAAAATTAAAGAAGCTAAAACAAAATAATCTAAAGCTTGGTGGTTTTTTCGTGGCTTAGAGCCTTTAAATACAAGAGGATTAGGTTTAGGGTCAAAGGAAGTCAAGGGGGAAGCAACATTTTTCGGGTTTGACTTTGACTCCCCAGCTCGATCGAGTTGAAGCTTGGCCGGTCGAGTTGAGGAACTCGACCGGTTGGTCGAGTAGGACGGTCGAGCTGGTCTTCAAGATGGCTTCTCCCTTCTTCCTTTGCGTATCCAGTTGAGCTGCTTCCATGTGCCAAGTCCCTCCATGCTCCTCATGTCCCATATGCTCCAGAATGCTCCAAAAGACCTATTTCAAAGGACCAAACATGCATATGTATGCAAATGCAACCTAAAACTAACATGAATGCATAAGAAGAGAAAAGGAACAAGATATGATGCAAATGGAAGCTAAAACTATGCAAAAGATGCATAAAAGATGTGCTAAAACTATGTAAAATGCAAGTACATCAACACCCCCAAACTTGAACTTTGCTTGCCCTCAAGCAAACAAATAGAACAAGAAAGAGATGAGGTTTGAAAATAGCTGATTCAACACTTAAAAACATGTCCTCAAAAGCGATTTGCTAAATGTCCAACTTAGAGATTCTAGAATGCAACAAGGTGAGAGATATTCATTAAGATTTAACCATGCTTATCAACATCAATCCCACTTCACAGTCACTCAAACAATGCATTCAAATCAGCAAATCCCTTTAACATTCATTAAGCAAAAACAGTGAACCAAAAACATGCAAGATCAATCAACTCATTTGGTTTCAAGGGTTTATGGGTTAAGAGACAAAGAGGGTCTCTTTTGTATGGTGGTTTAGTAACAGGGATCTCTCAAGAAAGTGGCTTTGCTTTGGCAGAAGGCTAAGTGTTAGAACCAAAGATGATGCAAGAACAGCAGCTCGAGCCGCCTAATCCTAACTCGATCGAGTTCAACACTTAGAGCTTTTTAGAACAAAATCCTAACTACCCTTTTTGGCATTTCGCCTTTGAAACTGAGGAGCTTTGCTCACTTTTCTTTTAAGAACTTCCTAGGGAGAGGCTTCTTGAGGTAACATCTAGCGGTTTGGGATTTTCTAAACACTTAGGGAACTTTTCTTCCTTTTTGACACTTGAGGCTTTGCCTTCTTTTCATTCTACTTAGAACCCTTTTTACTTTCCTTTTTTAACTTCCCAAACCTTTACTAGACCCTTTTTAACACTGCCAACTCCCTGGACTTAACCAAACTCTTTTTCTTTGGGTTTTTCCCAATTTTTACCACTTTTCTGGTTTTTACACCCAACTCGATCGAGCTCGAGTTGGCACCCCCAAACTTAGCCTGAAAACAATCCCAAGAGAACTAGACAACTAGAACTACTGCCCCTGCCGGTTTAAACACAACACCTTATGCTAAGCAAAGCCAAGAAAGGTTCTCACATTCGCACAAGAGATAATAAGGGGTTTGAAATGAAAAGGCTTAGGTTTAAGGTGTGGTAACTGTCTCAAGGATAGAGATCAGCTATCTGGACAAGCAAAAGGGATATGAAAAGGTAAAGAATGTCCAGATATGTATGTGGTAGCCATGAGTTGAAATCAAATGCAAGCATTGGTAATTAAAGATCAAGTTATGGTTCAAATAGATAGGGAAATGCATCAAATCACAGCAATGGTTGAATGAGATGTGCATGCAGTGATATGATCAAGATAAACATGGTTCTTGCTGCTCAATCAATCTCACCCTAATGCACAAAAGAATCTAAAAACAGGGCACTCAAGAAATCGCAAAAGATGGACAAGTTTTCAAAGTCAAATCAACAATGCAAGTGAAAAATGCAATCCTAAACAAGTCTAACAAATATGAATGCAAAAAGATGAAAATATTTTTGGATTTTTTGAAAATTTTATGATTTTTTTGGTTTTTCTATGCAAAAGATAAATGAAAAACTAAGAACAAAGAAAACAAGGTTAAATCATCTCTTGAACCCTCCCCCAAACTTAAATCACACAGTCCCTTGTGTGAGAAAAATTCAGTGAAAGATTCAAGAGGGCAAAACCAAGAAAAAACAAGAACAAAGACAAGAAAATATGAAATGGTATATACAAGGGTTGGTGTTTGGATACCTCAGTGCCCCCCAAAGAACTGGGAGGCTAGGTCGTGGTCTGGAGATGGTAGACGGCCATCAGGAGCACTCCACTCAACTGGGTTCGGCTCACTCGATCGAGCTTGTGGCTCCTCTCCTCTTCTTCTTCATCTTCAAAGTGGTGTGGCTTCCTTGGCCTTGGTGGAGTTGTGCTCGCTCGAACTGTAGGGGTCCACTCTGAGAGAAGTCCTGGTACTGGGTTGATCGTACTCGAATCCCAGGGTTCTCAAACTGGGCTCCTCAGGTCAACTCGACCGTCAGCTCGATCGAGTTGAGTTTCCTCTGTTTGGACTCGATCGAGTCCGGTGGTCGAGCTGGAGCGTCTGGCCTTAGAACTCTTCCTCCTTCTCTGCGTGTTGTCTCTCCTTCCCTTGGCTCGAAAGAAGAGGCTCTGTGAGGCTCTTGGGCAGGGAGCCTCCTTTGGGGTGAGGAGTGACCTACTCCTAGGGAAAGTGGGGGCCTTGGACTTCTTCTTGCTTGAAGAACCAGAAACTTTCTTCTCCAAACTCTTGATCTTGCTCACCATCTTGTCCATGGACTTTTGCATCTTCTCAATGGCTTTCCCTTGCCATTTGTTGAACTTTTGGAGAAGTCCAATCCTCTTGTGGCAGCCACAACAGAGGGGTTCATCCTTGGAGCCTCATACTCCTCAAAGTAGTAGCACTCAGGCTCACCCAAATCAGCGCTCCTGGACCTGATCTTCAGCTTGATCCTCAGCTCGATCCTCAGCTCGATCGAGCTCAGGCTCCTCTTCTCGCAAATCATCCTCATGCCCAACTAAGTGTACACAGGGGGTCTGAAATCAATGTTCTCACCCCTACACTGTGGTGAGCTCTGGGTTGGGCAGGAGAAGCTTGGAGGGTCCAGCCAATGGATGTGTGAACTTGAATTGGAACCTCCCATCCAACTCCTTGTGCTCAATGAGGAGGTTGGTCTTGCAAAACTTGATGTCCATCCAACCTGGTTCAGTAGGCTCTCTATCAGTTGGGTTCACTCCAGCAGCACACAAGATAGGTGTGATGAGCCCTCCAACACTAAGCTTTCTTCCTCTTTGGTGCCTAGTGTTGTAGGCTGTGATCTTGTAGGTGAGGAGCTGGTCAAGGAAGGCATCAAGTTCCCTGTGTGATCTATCTCCCCTGATCCTCTTGCCATCGCTTGTGCGTGAGAGAAGGGCTTGATTCCCATGTCAAGAAACTTGAGTTCCCCTCGTTGATTGTCCCGGTTGCCTTCCTTGCAAAGAAGGTGTTGGCAAGTGCCTTGTGCACATATCTCAAGACTGGGCTCCTGATCTGAGCAGCCTTGGACCTTGAGGAAGAGTACACTCCATCAGCGATTGTAGCCCAAACCCTTTGGAGTTCCTTTTCCTTGAAGTTCCACTACCTTCTCCATAGTTGAACCCAAACAAGATCTCCAACTGCCTAAAGGTCACCATTCTCTTCTCTCCCTTAGCCAAGAACGTGATCCATCCCAATCCTTGGTCCAAATCAGCTCTATCTTCTCCTCATACATGTGGTACCTCATTGAAGCTAAGAACTCGCAAGTGAGCTCCTTGTAGGATTCCATGTGGTAGAGAAGAACTTGGCCAAGTGCATGTTCTTGAGACCAACTCCACATCTCAAAGATTCCAAGGGCCTTCATGTGTCAACATGTGGGTACTTGGTCTCCACAAGTCCATGGAGAAGAGAGCATTGTAGTGCTCTTGGTACATGGGGAGCTCATCCTCTTCTTCCTTGACTCTCCTCTTCCATGGGCACATTCTCATTGCCCTCATGCTCACTCTCCTCAATCTCTTGATTGATCTCTTCACCCTCTTCTCACTTGGGAGTCATCATTCTCCTCTTGGGTTTCACTCCAATCTCAAACTCTCCTTGCTTCGCTCTCACTACTAAGGATCATTCCTTCTTTTGGTTCTCCTTTCCTCCCTCACCTCTCAGACCTCTTCTCATGTCCTCCTTGGTTTTCTTTTGATATCCTCCTTGCATCCTCTTATCATCTCCCATTCTCTTGTGAACGCTGCTTGCTTCCTTCACCTCTCAACATCTTAGATTGGTTCCTGAAATGCATCAAAATTACAAAGAATTAGAGTTGTAATGATCGGTTTGGTCAACTCGACACTCAGCTCGATCGAGTCAAAAAACTCGAGTGACAAACTCGATCGAGTTGGGTGAAAACAGAGTATAACCAAACCTAATTCAAGATTAAGAGCTGGAAAGGATGCTAATCAATCAAATTGAACCAAGAACAACTAGTAAATGGAACAATAAGCAATTCTAGTGAAAACATAGCATCTTAACCATACCAAACTCAAATTCAATTTCAAGCACATGCAACAAGTTTAAAGGCAAAACAGAGGTGAGGTGAAGCAAATTCTAACAAGTTATACAACAGAGGCGAAATATGAAAGCAATTACTCAATAACAAGTCCACAAGGGACACATGCAATCAAAAATCAAGAGAAACAAGCAAAGGAATCGAGATGGAGGAATCAAGGGTTTTAGGTTCATACCTTGCTTGAATGATGGAATTGAAGAGCAGTAAACAGAACTAAGCAAAACAAGAGAAGAACAATGAAATCGCAAAAACTTAGAGAGAGAGTTGAAAATCGATTTTTGTGGTGAAGAGAGAGAGGATGAGTTTCAGAAATTTATGAGTGTGGGAGAGAGGAAGTGGGTTCGATCGAGTTATGGGGAAGAGAGTTGTTTGAGATGTGTGGTTGAGATTAAAAGATGAAATAAAGAGGGAACAAGAAACTAGGGATTCTCTGATCAATTAGGGTAGTGGGGGACCAAAATCAGCTTGTGGGACCCACTCCCTTGACCAAGAAAACGGTTATGAATTTGAAATTCAAAAACTTACCTTGGTCGAGTTGTGTAGCTCGATCGAGTTGCCCTGGTTTCTAGCTCGATCGAGCTATCGGTCGAGCTGGCTCCTTA